CCATTCAAACTATTTTTGTACTACGTAAGAGAGCTATACGATCAATTTATAATCTTAAAGTTAAGGATTCCTTAAGAGATAGGTTTAAAGAATTTGGAATAATGACGGTCGCATCACAATACATATACGAAAATTTATTATTTGTAAGAAAAAATATTAATTTGTTTCTTAAAAACAGTGACGTTCACACACCTTATACAAGAAACAAAAATAAACTATTTTACCTGCTACTAGGCTTCACAAAATCAATAATTCATTTAAAGGTATTTGTGTTCGCTTATACAATAAAGTCCCAAGCAATATCCAAGAGTTAACCATAAAGAAATTCAAAGATAGTATTAAAAAGCACTTATTAAAAAAGGCTTATTACAAAGTGTCTGATTATAACAGATAAAAATGATTGGGTGTGAACTGTTCCAATCATTCCAACAGGTTTTCTATATTAAATAAATCATGATTGTATTGCCGTTGTAACAACATAATGATTTGTAAATGTTGTTACATTATACTTTTAATGTTGTGGAGTTTTTTTCGCTCGTTTACCTCCGCAGCTAAAAAATATGTCCAATAACGAGTGGTAGGGAAAAAAATGTTTGGACGATTCAAAAGTGTTGTACTGTACATCCAATTTGAATAAAGATATATTGATTTCTGATTGATCGCGGTGTGCGAGTGAGCATTGTCGTGCATTAAAGTGAAGTAGTGAGGATCACGTAGCCACTCTTCCAGGAACTCTGTGATGTACCGATGAACTGTTAAAGAGCCTTGTCTGCGAGTAATTCCAGTCCGGGAAACGCATACAAGGTCGGTTTTGCCATCGATTGACATGCCATCATGCACAGGCCGCCTCTGTATTCGAGTGTCCCTTTAATACAGGCTTGCGCCTGTCGTTGCAATAGAGTCATATTCTTATCTCATCTGAGAAGGGAACAGTCCGCCACTGCTCTATTCTCTGTTAATGTTATCAGATCTCATGTAGAGCCAAGCTTCTAACTCTACACGCCCCAACTCTACAAGGCCTAACCTAAGAGTATGGGGGATAAAAGTTACAAAATCTATGAGGAAATTGTTACTCTAAGAATTTTGATGATTATCAGTCAGTCAGTCACTAAAGATATCAATAAAATAAACAATTAAAACTGTATAAGTCCGCTATTGACAACATTTCCCTAGAATTTTGTTTATCCAAACCCAAGTCATACGGGTTCAAAAATGACGAAGCGCTTCAAGAAAACGTAGGTAGTCTAGCAGTTAATGCTTAATAAATAAAAATTAGTTGACCAATTATGCTACGTAGTTTATTTTAACTACGTAGCATAATTGGTCAGTGCATCCGCCCGGATAGCGGTGGTTGCGGGTTCCATCCAGTCTCGTCTGTTGTCTGGCCGCGTAGATTTTTTTCTAGTAACATTTTCTTTAGATGTTTCAACTTTTTAATCGTACTTATATCACACTTTATTATTATGAAGAATAAATTGAAACATCTTCAAAACTGCTTTTTGGGGTTACACGATCTAATATCTAGTAATTATAAGCTATGTTTGCCACAAGGCGGCATGGCACCCCAGACCAAACTTCAAATGTTTTTTTTAGTTATTTGACTTGTTCAGTTACCTGTTTTTAAGATTCGAAGACTGGCCGATTACCGCCTACTGTCAAAATCAATCTAAAGTTATTAATAACTAGCGGCCGCCCGCGACTTCGTACGCGTAGAGTTAGTTATTTGCACATACTTTCTGACCCCATGCGTTGAAGAAATAAAGGTTCACTGCTCGTTCCCCGTAGGTGATAGCGTGAAGCTTTTAAGTTGACCCGAGTTCTTAATAATATTCGTGGCAAATTTGAAGTACCTACCACTGGTAAAAAAATAAAAAATAAAATTGTTATCCTTCAATGTGAAGTTAAGGAACATTTATGTATGTATGTTTGTGCGTATAATTATATATATGTCATTTATATGTATCATTTATTGTCATATAACAGTCGCTATTTACTTAAGATGGTCATTCAAATAATCATTAATACTATAGTAGCACTTCTCGATTAATAAGTTTTGCTTTTTTTTTTAAATAGAATGTCATTAGTTTCCTGTCTTAATGTCTCTGGTAAATGGTTATACAGGGCGTCCCACGGCTACCTCACACGGAGGGAAAGTATATCAAATATTGAAGATAGGATATTTTACTGAAAGAAGACATCATTTTATTTTTAATAATAACTAGAACTGCATTCACAGATTTTTTTTTAAATCGCCTGTTACAACTGGGAATCAAACTCGTGAAATTTCGAAAAAAAACACGACATATTTTATGATAACCATCGAAAGGGTTAATCATAAGGATTATGTTTTGCTAAATAACATAGCATTTTAAATGAAAGGAATGTCTTATTACGTGATAAAAATAAAAAAAGTGATATACAAATTGTAGTACGTATGCATTTCTTTTTGAATTCAGTTACAATGCGATTGACTAAAATTTGTAATAAAATTCGAAAATGGAACAAATTTTCAAGCCTGTGTTCTTTTGTTTTTCGTGAGTTACATTTTCGTTTATTTGCATTTTTTTGTTAATTTACTTACCATGGCGCATCAAAATAAAATAGATTTAATGTAATTTTTGAAGTTATACTTCTTTAGGCGCGTTATGAAAAAATGATGAGAGTGAAATTTTAAGATGCGCGCGCATCACTGTAACACAAAAAATTACTTTTGTGTTTACCGCACATTAAGAAAATCTACCAACAAAATAGAAATGGAATCTCTATTTAGTGGGTGCTAACGACTGCATAGTGAAGGCCTATCAAAAGTATTTATTAATCTGGAACAACGGAACCAAAGCGCGATTCAGGAGACTACAGCGCCATCTCTTGACCATTGGTGTAGTAGAACCAAAAACCACATCTTTATTTTTTGTAATAAAGTAACAGTTATAGGTATTCATATTTATAATATTTATCCACATGTTTCTAGTTTGTATATTCGGAATACGTGTTTGAGTTTCATACAAGTGCAAATCACATATGTTCTAATAAATTATATTCAGTAGCGATTTTAATTGAATATTTTGATTATTTATTTATTTTTTCAAATTAAAACTGAACTTTATTGACTGTGTCCTTTTCCAGACTTTTTATTAATTTATTGTAATTAATTATTTGCATGCAATTAAAAACTAATTTTAAACGATGCCAAAGAAGGATAACTTCTCACGCGCCTACATAAGTACACGCACCCATTTTTTTACTTTATGAAACACAAAGACATATCATTAGCTTAGCGGTGGTACTGCAAAAGATATCCTGATAGAGACAAACCTTCTCGATATGTGTTTAAATAATGAAAGAAAGATAGAGAAAGAGAAAGATTTTTGATAAGCCATGGTAAGTAAATTAACAAAAAATTGCAAATAAATGAAACTGAAACTCACAAAAACAAAAGAACTGACACTTGAAAATTTATGTATTCCATTTTCGAATGATTATTATTACAAATTTCTGCCAGTCGCATTCTAACTGTGAGTTCAAAAAGAAATGCATACGTACTACAGTTTGTATAAAACTTTATTATTTTTATCACGTAATTCACATTCCTTTCATTTAAAATGCTATGTTATTAAGCAAAAAATAATCCTTATGATTAACCCTTTCGATGGTTATCATAAAATATGCCGAGTATTTTTTTTCGAAATTTCACGAGTTTGATTTCCAGTTGTAGCAGGCGATTTTAAAAAAACTGTGAATGCAGTTCTAGTTATTATTAAAAATAAAATGATGTCTTCTTTCAGTAAAATGTCCTATCTTCAATATTTAATATACTTTCCCTCCGTGTGAGGTAGCCGTGGGACGCCCTGTATATGATTACAGAAAAGGTACTTGTTAAGTTTAGCTTGAGGCGTGAAGTTGGGAGTACTAATTTGTTTTACGTCGCAAGGAATAAATACTTCATATGTAAATTCTCTCGTTTAGTATATAATTGGCTATTTTTCTTTATAAATTTGCATATCTCTAGTATGTATAAACAAGGCAGGGGAATTATCTTATACTTTTGAAAGTACAATCTAAAGCTTTCGGTATTGTCTATATTTGCAATAATACGAATTAGTTTTTTCTGCAATGTAAATTAAGCGGGTGCGTCTGTGCTATTTCCCAAAAAGATGATACCTTAGTTCAGCCAAGAATGCGCATATGCGTAGTAAGTTACAATTGCCGTTTCCACATTAGTAGTCTTTTTAACTTCACCAAATGCATAAGAAAACTCGATAACTTAGATTTTATTTTTCTTACATGTGCTTTCCAATTAATATGCGAGTCTATGACTATACCTAATAAAGAGAAATCCTCAACACAATCTAAAGTTTTACCCATGTAATTTACTAACACTAACTTCTTTTTTTTGATGCGGGTGGAAGGTCATAATTTTTTTTCGCTATATTTATAATAAGGTTATGGTCATTTAACCAGTACCGTATCGTACCGCTTAAGCACTACCTACTTCTCCTTATTTCGTTAATATCGTTGTTATACTGTACATACACAATTAAATATTTGCGAAAGAAGTTTAAACATTTATTCCAATAACTTTCATGTTTATTTTACATATAAAAAAATACAAGAGCTACAAAAAAAAACGTTTTTTTTTGCTTACGTACCTACCTATTTACGGTTATAACATGGGTATTTAAAATTTTCCCTTCTAACAAACTCCCTCCATACTGGAGCATTAAGGAGGGTAATAAAAATTAATGGTATTACTATTGGTAAGTACTTAGTAACCGGGGCAACAAAGGGTCTGTTTGCTGTCCGTAATTAAAGAGGTGGATCTCAAACTAAAGAAAAAAGTAAAGTTTATTATCAGTACATTTATTACACTGATAATAAACCTTCTTGAAATAACTGTGTAACGCAAGCACATTTGAACAATCCATAATCTGACGAGTAATCTGTTAGCTATATATATCAAAATAAACAAATAAATTAAACTGATTATTTGTTTGTTTCAGATGAATCTGTTACATTTCTTAAAAAGCAAGCCGACGAACTTTCTCTGTCCACAAAAATATATGAAGTAGTAAAGGAAAAACCTATTGTAGTATTGACATGGTTAGGACAAGATCCATCATTGCCGTCTATTTTGCTAAACTCCCACATGGACGTGGTCCCGGTGTTTGAAGTAAGACTTTAGTATCTTATAGGGTTAACTTAAGTTTCTAATGCTGTACCGTGTACGCTGTGTAGTTTTTTATGTTAAAGGGTGGCAAACAAGCCTATGGCCCACCCGATGGTAAGCGGACACAATAGCCTATCGAGCCAGTGGTGCTCAAACGGTCGATCGCGATCGACCTATGAAAATCTATCTATATATGCTACGGTACACCCTACCTAGGTAGGTAGGTGGGATGTATCGTGTATGTACGACAACCCTGCATCACACATACATGCAGCCTCTCAGAGTCGATCGTAAGTAGTCTAAAAATTTTGAGGTAGATCGCCAGCAGTTCAAGTTTGAGCACCCCTGCTATAGACGCTTGCGATACAAACAATATCACTCCCACTGCTACCTTCTCTGACCACAGCCCCTACACTATGTAGCACTGGAACCTTACTCACCGACAGAAACACAACATCAGCAAAAGGTACCTACTGTTATTTTACTGTGGTCTTCTGTAAGGTGGAGGTTACTTCCCCTGACATGCTCCAATTCCAGCGGAAAAATCCGCTATGCCCTACCTCTCTTATATTTTACAAGCTGTGCCCCGCGGTGTTACCCGCGGTTTATTAGGGATTTTTTCCCGATTCCCGCAGTAAAACGTAGCCTATGTGTTGATTCAGGGTGTCAGCTAACTACATACCAAAGGAGATTGCTCAGCTTCCATACCTGTTTGGCCTAAAGACCAATAATCATAATAAATTGTTTCCTAGATTCGCAATTATATATAAATTACTGTAGAAACGAATATTATTCACGGACACTCCTGAGAACTTCTATAAACCATATACACTGAACATATTAAAATAATAAAAAACAAATAAGTTATATAGTAAACTAGGGAAATCAAGCCAAGTACCGAAATTATGGATTAGAATCAGGTATATAGAGCATGTACATTAACAGATAGTTGCCTGTTTTTAAAGTTAATGCATAAGAGTAACTTTTAAAATCACGTGTCATTTCCGGTTATAATAAGGTACTCTGTGACAGAAACTGTGTGATGATTGTGAATGAGCCATAGATTAGAGAGAATTTTTAAACTCTCGTTAACCAAAGAAAGCTAAGAGATTTAGGTTCTATAGCCATATATTCAGTAGCTTCATTATTTTTGTTATGTTTTTAAGATAACCATATTTTAGATTTTTAGTGTATCACACCTAATAATTTTATTTATTTATTAATTTATAGTCAGGGAACGTAGGCCCAAAGATAGATACCTTAAAGTCTAACATATATACAGATTATAATGTGTTTATGGAGGTGTTTGGCGAAAAATGTATGTCAATAGACTTTATGATGTCGCCTACCATCTAAAATAATTGTCTGAGCACATTTGCATCTAGTGAAAATGATAATATAGTGGTGGATATTAATACCACAGTGTAATAAAAAAAATGATTTATTTTATCGATCTTTACAAAACAGATTTGTTTTTATGTTATATTATGTTATATAACAACTTCGATCAGTCTTTGGCTGAATGTTACTACACCCATAGCCATTAAAAATGATTCGTATATTTTCCAAACCGGTAAAATTGAAAGTCCTTTTTAAAGTAAATATATTATACAAAGGTGTCCGTTGAAATGTAATGACTGTAAAGTAAATTATAAATTACGCCAAGAATTACCGTGTATATCAATACTTTTTGTGAATTTGGGCCAATTTGAGCAATCTCCTTTTATTAAAATTGCACCAGTCGTTTAGACGTGAAGAATTAACAAACATACACACTCACAAACTTTGGCCTTTATAATAATAGTGGGATACTTTTTTATATTTATTAGAATAGTTGGACATATCCACCATTTAGTGCTCATATAGACCAAGACGGTAAGATTTATGCACGAGGATCCCAAGATATGAAATGTGTAGGAATACAATATCTTGAAGCTATACGGAAATTAAAAGAATCTGGGATGCGCTTGAAAAGGACATTGCATGTATCATTCGTTCCAGGTAAGCTAAGTATCTTTGTTTTCAAGATATATCATACCCATATCTTTCAAAAAAATCTTTAAACGCTTTTCAACTTGTAGATGAGGAAATCGGTGGTCACGATGGCATGGAAAAATTTGTCCTAACCGAAGATTTTAAAAAATTAAACATTGGTTTCGCACTGGATGAAGGAATGGCCAACCCAACTGAAGAATTTATTATATTCAACGGAGAACGAAGTATTTGGCGTATGTATTTGTGTGACAGATTTGTATCACTTTTAGTATTAATAAATTTAAAGAGAATTTTACAATCAAAATATCCACACGGGCCAGGAAGCAGACGGGATTCGCACCCGCACCCTCACACCCTCATCTAGCAGTTAAATACTTAAAAACCGACATGTGCTGTTCAAATGCGATAGAAGTTGAAACCTACAAAACTGTGAACACGTAAATGTCCTTCTCGACTAGGCGCGTCTTAAAGAAAACACCTCCCCTCCCCTCAAGCGGAGATTTTTGATTTACTCGAGCGCGGTAGATTTACATATGGAAGCAATTTTTTTTCCTATATTCTACCCTTTTGTATAGTCACCCCCACACCATGCAAACAGGCAGATCAATATTTTTTCCGTCATCAGAAACGTAACGTGAACTCTCCAGTAGCTCCTATTCAAGGGACTGGCGATTTGGACGCGACTAAAAGACTTGGGCGGTCGTTGAATATATTTTTGGCGTACAGAAGAGCGCTTAAGTAACCTAACGTCATCGAAAAAATTGTTTACGTTGGTGCATACATACCGATCACATTGCGGAGATTAGGAGACAAAACTAGGCTCTTCGATCATCTACAGGTATTCAACTGCTCAAATCGTTTTTCAGAGGGATTTCAATGCCCACCAAGAACAGAGGTTTATTCCCGTACAAGACAACTGACCATGCTGGTAGAGGGGATAACAAGCCTTTTCTGTCAATGAATCTTTCCTAGCTGGTAGACCAAGCGACTTGTGTACCTAATGTTGGGAACCACACCGCTAATTGTCTGGAGCTTTTGCTGACGACTGAACTAGACCGATACCAAGTGTCAGTTTCAGCTCCCCTCAGAAGTTCTTACCATTGTCTGGTTAAGTCCATATTATTTTTGTCCCCGTCTGACTCCCCTAATGTGGCGGTACCAATCAGCAGATTGAGATGAGATGCGTCATTTTCTGGCGCATGGTTAAAAGTGGGCTTTTCTCTTCGGAAGAAACCATCTAGCTAGCAGTGCGTCCGCTGGTGCCGAGGTTATTGGTCCGACCGGCCTTCAGGCCTTAAAGCTCAGCCATGGTTCGGTGCTGTTTGAAAGCTGAGGCGATCAAGTATTCAGCATACGAGGCCTGGACTGATGCCAGGAATCTAGAAGCTTCGGATGCGCTTAAAAAGAAAAATGCCTATAACGCAGCAGCCTACTCAAAAAAGCGCTTAAAAGGCCCTCTTTAATCATGTCGGCCGCGCAGGAGCTAAACTTGTTTCGTTTCCTTCAGGAAACAAGGAAATTCGGTCCCTGGCAAACTGTGTCGAGGTGAACTTATGTCGCTCTTTGTTTCCTCCTCTACAGAAACCTGATGGTACACTGATGCACACCGCTGTTGAAAAGGCGAATCTGTTTGCTTCTATATTTGCCACAAATTGACATCTGGATTCAGGGATTAGAGCAACGTCAAAGCTGTCTCCCTTCAAATGTAAAATGGCTGAAATCCGCATACATATAGGTTGCAAAATTATTGCGCAATCTAGATGAGAATAAAGCCAGTGGCCCCGATGGTATTCCTGCCATTGTATCCTCCTGGTATTTGAGAAACTGCGGAGCCGAATTGTATCCTGTTCTGACATGCCTGTTTCGCTTGCATTTCCAGACTGGAATGGTATCAACAGCCTGGGAGCACAGCAGGCTAACGTACAGCCTGCACCCAAAAAAAGCAGTAGTGCTGACGCTAACCATTATCGCCCAATTTCGATCGCCTCCATCCTCTGTAAGGTGATGAAGCATGTATTATCTAGACGCCTTATGGCATAGATGATCTTCTCAGTTATTGGCAATACGCCTTTTACCAGCGCCGCACCACTGGATGTGATGAGGCCCTTGAGATAGATGGTGAGGCACTAGATGCAAAAAAGGATTTTCGCAACATTTGACCTTCAAAAATTTTTTTGCACAGGTCGGATAGATGGGGATTTTTGACAAATTGTTTGTAATAGTGTTCCCAACATTCATTCGACTTCCGTCTGCTTCACACTATTAATTAATTAAATTATGTTACAAAATCTACAAATTATTGACAGAAATTCACGTGCATTGTGCTGGACAGCCAGGGCACGGTTCCTTACTGATACCTGAAACAGCTGGTGAAAAGGTAAGTCTAAAAATATTTAAATAAATTGAAAAACCTAAATAAGATAGATTCTTCTTCTCAAGTTAATTTTTAATTGTATTTCGCCTCGTTTCATTAATTATTATTTTTCAGTTGAGATACATAATTGATAAATTTATGGACCTAAGAGCGCAACAGAAGAATATACTGGACAGTGACCCTAACTTGACTATTGGTGACGTAACTACAATAAATTTAACACAAATATATGTAAGTAAAAATCAAAATATTTTTCTTAAAAAAAATTAACTTCAAAAGTCTTGGGATCTGAACTTTTGCAGTAAAATTATCAAATCAATACATATTTACAAAATTTAGTTTTTCAGACTGAATTTTTTCAATTATTCTTCTGATAATTTAATATTTTTTTTGTTTTCGAGTGATTTGTTATTTTAACTAATTTTTCGAAATAATTAAATCACGTCAATGTTCATGAACAATACCTTTGATTATTATAATCAAAAATTTTAAAAATCAAAAAACCCGACTGCTTAATTATTCTTCAAATAAAAACTGAAAAGAAAAAAACAAGTCCAGTAGTCTATAATTCTGTTAATAAGGAACACAGCTACTTTAACAGTCGGGACCCACTGTTGAAAAATATTATGTATTCTTGAATATCTAATGGGTCCCGACTGTTAAAGTAGCTTTGTTCCTTATTAACAGAATTATAGACTACTGGACTTGTTTTTTTCTTTTCAGTTTTTATTTGAAGAATAATTAAGCAGTCGGGTTTTTTGATTTTTTAAATTTACCTTTTTTATTTCACACTTTTTAGTTAGTATTTTAAGATGGTATATACCGTAGTCTTGATACTTCAGTAAGGGAATTAATATCGCGGGATGTATTAAGTACCTTGCGTCGGTCTGAAAGATTGATTTATTAAGACATATAAAGACTTTACCAGCGGGGTCAAGGCTACAGATGGGCCTCAATTTTCGCAAAAATGTGTAAAGTTAAATCAAGTCGTTACATAATTATCTCTAATGTATGTAAATTTTATAGTAAACTTACTCAAAAAGTCATCTTTTGTTTATGTTTTTTTTAATAGTTTAGCAGTAAATATAAAATTCATTTACTTTTATTCGTCGACTATTTAAAATTGGCAGTGGCTGCATTGTCATGTCAATGCTGGACGTCTAAGATTGTGATATACACAAATTCAGTGTCAGTCCCTAGTCTCATAATTTGATATACCTACATAATTCACAGAAACCCAATATGTAGATGCCAGAAGTTAACTTCAAATGTTTTTAATCACCCTATATACAATACCAATCAATGACGTTTATGTCGCAGGTTGAAGAAAGCAGTAATTCCCGTCTGTTGTTTTGGACAATGGTGGCAACTGCCTTAGATCACTAAATTAAATAATTATGCAATCACCAAAGCAAAGTTTATAATGGTGCCGATTCTAGCGTGATTCTCTAAACTTATAACTAAATTTAACATCAGTCTCTCCTTTTCATTCTGTATAGAGAATGACAAGGATGCACTGTTGTCAAATTTAAGTTTAGCTTTAGAGAATCATGCCAGAATCGACATCAATATTTGATTAAACTAAAGGCGCATAATAAAATTTTCATAACGTTAGGTAGAGCACCATAGCAATCTCATTTATTATCAATTTATAGTTCTCTTTGTAGTTTTCTTTTTAAAGCGTTCACATTTAACAGGTCAAAGACTTTGTGTTCGACCCTTTTTTATTGGTAGTGTAAAGCTCGAATGAAGAGTACTCCCAGTAGTGCAAACATGGCAATTATTTTCCAAATTTTTTTTTGTTATAAAAATACCGAATAACGTATCACTGTTAAGCACAAATGCTAAGTAACTTTTACAAATATAATCAAATAAACCTATTACATACTTACTTTATTTTTAAATCTTTTTCATCAATTAAATACTTATCTTATCTTAACTATCTATACTAATATTATAAAGAGGCAAGATTTGTATGTTTGTAACAAATAATCTGTGAAACTACTGAATCGGTTTCAAATATTAATTCATCATAAGGTAGCTACATTATTTATTATAACATTTTTCTTTATTTAAATACAATTTGTCCGAGTGACATAGGCTATATTTTATCCCGATAAATAAATTTCGCCCGTACAATGCCCCGGTGGATCCCTAGTAAGTATAATATAATATTATAGATGCGAAAGTGAGTTTGTTTGTTGCGCTTCCGTGCCCTAATAGCTAAATCGAATATAATGAATTCCCATATAGAAGTAGATGGGAACTTGGTTCTTAGCTACAACATCGCAATACTTATAGGCGTAGGGTGATGAAAGGGGTGATTTACCTATAAAAATCTACATTATTTACTTTGAATTTTGCAGAATTATTACAAAACCAATATTATCGTGAGCTGATTAATAAATACAGGGATTCCAATAAGTATGTACTTACTAGCGAAAAATGGGTTATTTGTCATTATATTAAGTGAACCTTTTTGTAACATTAAGTAATATTGTTAAAAAAATGAAAAACAGTAAAATTCTGAGTTTTTCATTAAAATTCAATAATCATAAATACCTATTATGATAAAATATTTTTCATCATTTATTAAGAAGGAACTGTCTCACAGTTTTATTGTTAGTACTTCGTATAGGATCAGATACTGCCAATACCCCATTTTTTTTCTTTTACATAGTACACCGCGCTATCACTTTGTCATCGTTGTAACTTTTTAAATATTTGTCGAAATCACATAGTGTAAAAATCAAAGTTTATCGTCTTTAAATATCAAAAGCGATAAAAGTATTTGTTTTGATAAAAAATGATTTGTTAATACAAAATGTGCATTTTGGAAATAGATATCAAATAATATTTTATTTGTTTCTTAGGTTTTCACGCACATCACTCATTAAATAAAACTAGTTTTTACGGGTTAATGCACGAAACTTTATTTATTTATTGACGTTTCGCAGCCTATTCAGGTCTGCATCGTCAGAATAATGATTTTTTATTTAAAATTGTCGAGCTACCTTCGAAAGACTTATATTGAGCGTTCGGTTATTTCATTGGAAGATTTTTAAAATTTTTATTGTCTATGTATGAATTTATTATTTAATTTACTTAATAAAGTATTTTATTTAAAATTCTTGTTTGTAATTTTGAGGTTATTTATTTGACCCTAACTACCGTAAAGTATAGGGACTCGGGTAAAAGAACATATCGCAGATATGAAACATAGGCGCGAAAATAAATCTGCAGTGTGTGAACATGCATTAGGGGGACCAAACCACTACATTAGATTTGATAGACCACAGATCCTTGCAGCTGAGCGGCGGTTCGTTCCTCGAATGATGCGCGAGGCTATTGAGATTAAAAAATATCCAAATTTCAATAGGGAAGATGGTTGGTATATACCACCAGCTTGGGAACCTATTATACAGGAGATAAAATCCCAACCCCGAGCACACACTGCAAGACCATCAGATACTATTTGTTTGCATAATTTAACATAAGAAGGAGATAGAAAGCCTCTCTTGAGTTTGTTTCGCCGGTTCTTCTCAGGAAGGTCTCCCAATTTTGGAACCGGTGGTAGTTTACGGTAGTTAGGGTCAAATAAATAACCTCAAATTTACAAACAAGAATTTTAAATAAAATACTTTATTAAGTAAATTAAATAATAAATTCATACATAGACAATAAAATTTTAAAAATCTTCCAATGAAATAACCGAACGCTCAATATAAGTCTTTCGAAGGTAGCTCGACAATTTTAAATAAAAAATCATTATTCTGACGATGCAGACCTGAAAAGGCTGCGAAACGTCAATAAATAAATAAAGTTTCGTGCATTAACCCGTAAAAACTAGTTTTATTTAAATAATATTTTAGTTTTAATTTTACTATTTTAGCGGTAATGACTTACACATTAACAATAGATATATTGTGTCACGGACTTCTTTTTAGAACTATTTAAGAGATACATTTTCATTCTCATTACATTCATGTAACTTTTATTGTTTTTGCAGTGCAGGCCAAAATGGCTCGCAGATGGGAGATTTTTTTCCGTCTTATGTGACACTTATTGTTATATATTGGCCAATTCACTCAATAACTACATAAATTATTATATATATGTAATTATCATATATGAGCTACATTACTGTTAAGTTTCATTAAAATCCATTCAGTATTTTTTAGGTGAAAGAGTTACAAAGATCCATACAAACGTAAGATTGAAATTAAAAGCGTAAGTGGTTAATATACATCTTTAAAGCGTTGTAGATCCTTAACAATCATATAAAATGAAAAATGGTGTTACGAACCTAAATATAATTTTTGATTATCTAGACAGTACCCCACTCGACATATTTTGTCAACTTATTTTTTTTACTTCGTCACAATATGGCGCCTAATTTTGCCTATATTGAATTTTGATTACTATCATATCTTTAGTAGCACTCCCATGATTGAGACGAATCGATTGATGTATGAATCATCAAAATCGGTCCTGGCGTTTGGTCTCTAGTGTGCCACAAAGGAACAAACATACATATATAGACTGTTAAACACATAACCCTGTCTGCGCGTCGCGCTTCGCGCTCTTGCATTGCGCAACCGGGTAAAAAACAAAACTCATTTAAAACTATATCGAGTAAAACTAAGTAATCGAAAAAATCATAAACTTAATTTTAATATTTAATCTATTTATGTATATAAAAATCAATTCCTGTTCGTTAGTCTCGCTAAAACTCGAATAGGTACAGCTGAACGGATTTATCTTATCTTGGTCTTGTAATGTTCGTGGAGGTCTAGGGAAGGTTTAAATGGTGAGAAAAATAATTGTATAAAGAAATTCATTGTGTATAATACAAGCCTGAGAACAAAAATTTTAGCCTACCTACACTACAGCTCTACACCGATGCGAAGCGAAGGCGGGCCACTATATTTAATTATAGTTTTTAATATTTGTCGATATAGAGACAATGTGGTGTATATTACAAACAAACAAACCGCGAACGCATATTAATAGGTTCCGTTTTAGGAAACAAGCAACCCTTAACTAGGCATTAAGGGTGAAAGTTTGTGTACATCTTTCTTGTAGAGATGTTTTAACTTATTATTTTTTATACAACACTAGTGGCCCGCTCTCGCTTCGCTTCGGTGTAAAGCTGTAGTGTAGACTATAGTTTTTGTTCTCAGGCTTGTATTATACATAATGACATTCTTCTAATACCCAATTACAATAGGCACGCGCCGCCAAGTCCGGTAGTGTCGGAACCGCTATGTCCCTGAATTTTAAATTTGTAATATCTTCGAAAATATTCATTTAAATTATATGCGTTAAAGGGCCAAATTGTTCTATATTAAATGCACTATGTATTTAAGGTACTTAATTGGATAAGGATGAATGTTATATTGCTTAAAATCGCTTCGTAAATAATCTATTATTTCTCGTAAAAAGTATAGGATAAAAATTGGTTATTGTGGGATATCCTTAAGAGATAGACATATACAATCGCGGACTTTTTTGTAGACCTTTTTAAGGTGTACAATACTGTAGTACATTATTTTGATCTATCTCGTGGGGTTCAGCCAGCGTTTGCAATGTAAGCGCAAAAAATGTGTTTATTTACGACCTTACATTAAAAACCTCTAAAATTATCAGTGTTTCTCTACTATATTATGCATGTATTATAAATATAAACCTTCCTCTTGAATCACTCTATCTATTAAAAAAAACCGCATCAAAATCCGTTGCGTAGTTTCAAAGATTTAAGCATACAAAGGGACATAGGGACATAGGGACAGAGAAAGCGACTTTGTTTTATACTATGTAGTGAAGAGTAAACAAATGTTACAGGGAGGTGTGCAATCTAATGTTGTTCCAGAAAAGTTAACAGCAGTTTTCGACATACGATTGGCAGTAACCGTCGATCATACTCAATTTGAAAATATGGTAAGTAAATAGGTCATCTACAATTTTATGTAATTACATAGGTACTTACCTACCTACTTACGACGAATTAGAAAATTCATTAAAGAGCCGTTTATTTTAAAAAAATCCATTGATTTCCGATGCTAAACAATCAAATGGGCTCTAAATCCAAAAGAGAGTATGTACTAGATTTTCTATAGCATAGGAAACATATACAGGATGTCCCACGGCTACCTCACACGGAGGGAAACTATTTTAAATATTAAAGATAGGATATTTTACTGAAAGAAGACATCATTTCATTTTTAATAATAACAAGGACTGCATTCACAGATTTTTTTAAAATCGCCTGCTACAACTGGGAATCAAACTCGTGAAATTTCAAAAAAGAAATAAGACATATTTTATGATAACCATCGAAAGGGTTTATCATAAAGATTCTTTTTTACTAAATAACATAGCATTTTAAATGAAAGGAGGCATTCCTTATTTATTACGTGATAAAAATAATAAAGTGATGTAGGTACAAACTGTAGTACGTATGCATTTCTTTTGAACTCAGTTACAATGCGATTGGCTGAAATTTGTAAAAATAATTATTCTAAAATGGAACACATACATTTTCAAGCCATTATCGAATTCGAATAGTTTGCGAGTGTGAAATGTCAATGTCAAATTTTGTATAGAAACTTATACAGCAGCGCCAAAAAGTACGTAACGAAAACTAAAAATCAGTACACATTTGACAATGACATTTCGCACTCGAAAACTATTCAAATTCGATATTGGTTCGTGCTAAGGGTAGTTACTGTTCTTTTTTTTTGTGTTTTTTATTTTAGTTAAAAACCGGGTTCTTTTAATACATTTTTACAAAGGGAATCTAAATACGGAAAGATATCTAGAAATACTTAATATTTTAAGAGGTGAGATCAATAATCTTCCTGATGAACACTTTCCTTCCTGGATCGGTTCGTATGGACAAATAAGATGGCCAGCGAGATCCCCCGATCTAACCCCACTGGACTTTTTTTTGTGAGGTTATATAAAAGATGTAGTTAAAAGAACCGGTAAGACAGTATGCAGGTGTTACAAAATTAACTCAGATGTATTATTACAAACATTCTCCACGCAAAGATAATGAAATCGACAGGCAGAGAAAACATTAATAGAGTGAGAATTTGCATACAACAAATCGGATCACATTTTGAACATTTGATACATTAAATTATTATTTTTTCATGCACCGTTTCGTTTTTTAGTACTTTTTGTTGAATATTTTTTCATAAAATGTGTAATTTTATGACTTTTCTTTCATTTAAAATGCTATGTTATTTAGTAAAAAATAATTGTTATGATTATCTCTTTCGATGGCTATCATAAAACATGTCGTGTTTTTTTTTTCGAAATTTCACGAGTTTGATTCCCCGTTTTAGCAGGCGATTTTAAGAAAATCTGTAATTGCAGTTCTAGTTATAATTAACAATAAAATGATGTCCTTTTTCGGTAAAATATCCTATCTTCAATATTTAATATACTTTCCCTCGGTGTGTGGTACCCGTGGGACGCCCTGTATAGGTATTCTAAGATTTCTAAGAAAAAAGTATGACATTATAAGATTCCTTACTTTTTTATTATGTCAAAAAAACTAAGATAGGTAAAAAAAATCTAGTAAACTTTTCTTCAGTTTACTAGAAAAAATCCACGCGGGCCAGGCAGCAGACGGGACTCGAACCCGCACCCTGGTCTGCCGCGCGCCGGGTCCGCGTGGAATTTTTCCTAGTAAAATTTTCTTTAGATTCAAACAGCAGTTAAATGATTAAAAAAAACATATGATAGGTAATTTAATTACCTATTGAAAAAAGAGCTCTATTGTTGACGCAAACGATCCATTCTTGTCTCCATACAAGTCTGCCCAATCTTGTACCTACCTAACTCAAGTATTAGCATGCATTTCTATTATGTGTAGAAAAATACGCCGAAATCATTAAAAATATAAATGGAATTTATTGTTCACTTGTACTACATTAAAATTTCGATTGACCAACAAACAAATCAACTAAACAGATAATATAGGTATTACATTAAATGTGCATATTTAAATTAATTAAAATATAGCTGCGGAAATCATACCAAATATAATCTGATCGCCAAAAGCGTGAATATAACAAAATATTTTCCTATAAGGGTTTCCTAAAAGGCTGTGTATTGGCGATTAAATATCACTGCCAAATCCATAGTTACAATGTGACTAAAACTGTAACGTGATTTTTGAAATTAGTATAAACCAATAGTAGGTATATTAGCTGTCATCTGTCACACAATGACAAAACCTACCTTTAAAGTTATGCAGATTCCCTTTTTTTAAGTATTTTAATTTAGATCTTCACTAATTTCTTTGTGTGCGTTACCCCAGCCAGAAACTGACGAAAAATGTCTGACTGAAAAAATAAATCTTTTAATCCTTCAGATTGAGAAATTTTCTCCAGGTCAGTACATTTAGGGCATCAAGATGTAGCGACTGTATAATAATTTGACGCGCTCGAATATTTCAAGGTCACGTTTTTATTTGCAAAAAGCGGTCATTAGATACTTGTTGTCGCGTCCAAATCGTCAGTCGTTTGAATACAAGATACTGAAGAGTTCACGTAATATCCTGTTTTTTACACTTTTGAAAACATGTACACGCTCTCCTTTTCTCCACATTTTAAACGGTGGGGGGAGCGTGTACAGTACCCAATACGAGTTTTACAATTACGAAAACTATGATAGTTTTCGTGAGCTCGCACTCGTGCTAAGGGTACTGATTTTATTGTTTTCGTTTCAATACAAATAAACAGTGTTTAAATTCTATCATTAAAATCATTTGCGTCTTCTTAAACTTTAAGTATATTTGGTTACTTTTCATCAAAAAGGACATAGAAACATAATTTACAATTACGAAAATAATGATAGTTTTCGTGAGCTCAAACTTGTACAAAGGGTACATAAAAAATAATAATATACTTTTTTTCTTTTTAGCATATAACGTTCAAAATCCAATAGGTCCCAACGATGCTCGAGTAAATCCCTATTTAGCATCGTGGGCTCCACCTACCTAGTGACAAAGTACTAAATATAAATACTCACGGAATATAAATATACATTGTGGAGAGAAATAACACACCACTTTTATCGTCCGTTGTTGTTCATTTTATTTTCTTATATAATCAAACAGGAATGTCAATAATAAAAAACCATAAGGCAGAGCCAATCACATTGGTTGCAATGCATCCTCATTATTTAACACCTAGTTTTACATCACATCTAAAATAAGGTTTTGACTTGGGGGTAGAAAAATAGCACAACACCTATTGGATATTTTTTTCCAAAATTAATAAACATATCATTTAATTATTTTATTTTATAAATTTAGTTTCTAAAAACTAATTTAAAGGATAACAGGTAATAAGATGTTAATTATAAATAATTCATGTATTTACAGATAAAACAATGGTTCGAAGAAGCGGGACACGGCATCACTTATGAATTTGAGCAAAGAAATCCGTTTGTAGAATGTACTAAAACAGATGCTTCTAACCCTTATTGGGTTGCATTTAAAACTGCAGCCGATGAAATGTGAGTAACCTATAATAAACGGAGGCGATATTGGTCGGGTGTAGAGATGCAAAAACAGTTATTCAAAAGTTGGAAGAAAAGCACGAAAAAACCCTGTTTTTACAGGAGCTTGTTTATTTTTCACGAATATAGAATTCAAAAATAATAAGGAAGTTTTCGATAAAGATTAATGCATATAGATGTATATTATTTGGTATTTAATTAGGTACCTATGAAGTTGCCGTTTTGCCGTGCTGGCTATTTCAAGTCCGTTTATTTTTTGTGCTAAGAATTCTAAGTTCTAATTATTTTTATATTTAAAATATGCAATTCTTTTTTGAAAATTAGTCATTTGTTTAATGGTTAGCGTACTGTTTTCAGCGCATTTGTTAGTTTTTCATCATCATAGATACGATAAATATTCGAGTGATTATGGAGTATTGTTTTAGTCGTGGCTAGCGTTGCCAACCCTACTACATATATAATATAGTATCCTACTATTTTAGGGGATCAAATACTATATTTCTGAAAAAATATATCAGTAGTAGGTGCAACTACTATATTTTGCTTAAAGCACATTTTTGTCAGTAAAAGAGCGTTCTTAGAAATAAAAAAAAAAACCTAAGGCATGGAAGAGCAAAAATATATTTATTTTAAATATAAAGAACATATTTTAGCCACATACTATATTTTTTCATCTTTTTGCCATCTACCATATTTTTAGAGGTAACAGCTTTGGAAATACTATATTTGATAGACAAAAAGTTGGTAACCCTAGTCGTGGCAGCAAAGCGGCAGATCTCATAAAAATTTGGAGTTTGCCAGTGAATCACTACCACTCTCCATACAAACTTGAACCGTATCCTTCAGAAAAAAAATGGTCCCAATTTTTTTTTATTTAACTTCATGGTTGCCCCTGTGTGGGTCTTATGAGCTGTGATGTGACCTTAATTCGATATACTTTATCGTTGTTGTCTTTGCCTTCCGATTCGGACCCTTGTGTAGAAAATAGCTACCCATTTAATGTACCACTTAAAGTTTATTTTTGTATTTTCAGGGAATTAAAATTAGACTGCAGAATTTTTCCAGGTGGAACTGACAGTCGCTATATAAGACGCGTGGGAATTCCAGCAATTGGTTTTTCTCCCATGAACAAAACTCCGGTTTTGCTTCATGATCATGATGAATTTCTGGAAGCTTCTATATTTTTAAAGGGCATTGATATTTATGTCAAACTTATTTCAGCCATAGGTAATGTTTGACTTTGAGTAGGTACATCATAAAATCAATTAAGTATTACTAATAGAACGAGCATTAAGTATTTCTAAATACAGAGAAATACAGAGAAGCATAAGATTATCTGTTGTATCTACAACATATAAGTACCTACTTATAACCGGATTTGATACAGTCATTTGTGTGCATTTTATTTGAAAATTTTAGTTAGCTAGTCTAACTATTTAGTTATCAATCTGTTGTCTTACGTCTACTTTAATAAGTAAGTGCCTTCAATTTAAATTATATGTTACCTATACTAGTTTTTAAAAACAAAATTAAGTATGTAAATTGAAAACAAAATAAATAGGTACCTAATTAATTTACTGACCTTTTATTAAAAGTCCTGATTTTATATTCTACCGGGCGTCCCCCATCAATGCCACGTGGAGGAATAGTATTACAGGTATATTTATTTATCAATTTAAGGGACAGTACACAGCTTAGTAGCTTGTAAATCCAATGTATAGAACATTGGATTTACAATCCATGTAGTACAATCAATCAATGTTGGAAGCCAATTACAACTATTCCCATATTACAATAAGTTTTAAAAAATGATAAAGGAGAATGCCCATTTAGGAAGGTGACTTGGGTCCCTTTGAAAAATAGTTGTGCCCTGAAGATTTTTGTTGGATGTTGTAGGCAAAATACGCTATATTCACATTCAAAAGAAATTTCCAATTTAGTCACCCTGGTTCACGAGATATAATTTATTTTCTGTTGTGGAAATTGAGGTTATAAGATCTATTTTAGCTAATCTATTTTAGCGATAATGGCTCGCATATTAAAAATAGATATATGGTGTCGCGGACTTTCCACCCCACCTGATGTTAAGTGAAGGTGAAGTCCAGACGCGAAGATAGCTGATACAGCAGTTCTACCTGCCACACCAGCCATCCTCACCCTGCCGGCCTGCATGTTGCTTCTTCACGCCTCTTTTAAAGGATCCCAGGTTGTAAGAGGGAGGGAACACGTGAGCGGGCAGAGCATTCCATTTACGGATAGTGCGACAAAGAAATGAGTCACCAAATTTCTTTGTACGCGTTGGAATTGTGGCCACAGTAAGACGGTGACAACGTAGGCCAGCGCGCGTGGTCCTCTGAAGGAAAGGGGAAGGTGGGATAAGAGAGAATAACTCCTCAGAACACTCGCCGTGGTACAAACGATAGAACGCGCTTAGTGACGCCACGTCACGGCGCAATTGAAGAGGCTCAAGGTGTTTAGTCACCTCCTCATCGCCTATGATGCGGATCGCGCGCCGCTGTAACCTATCCAAAGCATCGAGCAAGTACTTGGCGGAGCCATCCCAGAGGTGCGAGCAATATTCCACGCAGGACCGCACTTGCGTTTTGTACAACAAGCACAGTTGATCGGGCGTGAAAAAACGCCGCACCTGAACCTGAACAATCAGGACTCCCGAGTTTGCGTGAAGCTGTTTTGATCACGGTTTCGATGTAGTCCTTTAGATTCAGGTCTTCGATGAGCGAACTTCCATACCGAGCATGGAAATGTTGCTCTGCAGCGGTAGTGTTGTGCCCTGAAGAGAGGGAAGGGGAAGGAATGGCGATGTTTTTGCCGTGAAAGCGCAAGCCTGAGTTTTCTTGGCATTGAACTCAACCAAGTTCCTGGTACCTCATTCGGAAATGTGGTCCAAAGCCTGATTGAGTTCAATGACAAGATTTTCCCGTTTCTCCTTGGTTACTGCCTGCCCAGCCGCTGGTTGTCCGAGATACCCCGCATGCACTATACTATCGTCTGCATAGCAATGAATATTCCCAAGAGGAATCAAGTCATTGATATGCAGCAGAAAGAGAGTGGGGGATAGGACGGAGCCCTGGGGAATGCCGGCATTCACTGACATGAACCGCGAACTGCTACCATCCGTAAGGACACGAATTACAGTACAGTACATAGTACAAGTACATTATATTTGTGTAACTTTTATTGTTTTTGAAGTGCAGTCCAAAATGGCTCGCAGATGGAAGATTCTTTCCGTCTTACGTGACACTTATTTTTATATTTTGGCCATTTCACTCAATGACTACATAAATTGTTATCTGTATGTTATTATCATAAGGTAGCTATATTATTGTAAAGTTTCATTAAAATCCATTCAGTATTTTTTAGGTGAAAGAGTAACAAAGATCCATACAAACGTAAGATTGAAATTGAAAGCCCCATCACATAAAACCACTTACTGGTTAACATACAACTTTAAATCGTTGTAGATCCTAAACAGTCAATAAAATGAAAAATGGTGTAAGGAACCTAATCATTATTTTCGATTATCTAGACAATGATACTCCTCTCGACATATTTCGTCAATTTATTTTTTTTACTTCGTCACAATATGGCGCCTAATTGCCCCCATATTGAATTTTGATTACTATCATATCTTTAGTAGCACTCCCATGATTAAAACGAATCGATTGATGTATAAATCATCAAAATCGGTCCACGTGTTTGGTCTCTAGTGTGCCACAAAGGAACAAACATACATTATATACAGACTGTTAAATAAATAAAATACTATACCCTGTCTGCGCGTCGCGCTTCGCGCTCTTGCATTGCGCAGTCGGGTAAAAACGAACAGATGTGATTAGAAACAAAAATATGAGATGCTGACAATACTAACTTAATGGAGCAAAACCAAAAAAAATACTGACCTTATCTCAGGGGATTACATAACTTCCTTTTATCTTGAAATGTATATATATATATATATACATTAAAAGAAATTTAAGTTTAGCTTTGGAGAATCATGCCAGATATATATATATATATATATATATATCTAAACATCTTGCTGATCAGGTTGCGTCTTATATGGCGATTTTTGCTATTGATCCTGCGTCCGACCGACTTGATGCAAGATTAACCTAGCCTCATTTTTTGTGCAAAGGCGTCTTTTCATGCGTAGAATGCATGGGCAAAAATTTGGCGTGGACTCAATTTTATCACCAGAATGCTTTTTAACGTATTTCATAGTTCAACCATTAACCGTCCGGAATTTGGAGGGCGCTACCGTGCAGTGTATATTTTGCAATGTATATTTCGGGTTCAATTTACAGATTTTATTGCGTCTTCCTGTATATATTTAAAAAAGTTTTTATCAATTCTCTACGATGATTATCTTGCATCCAGTAGGTATCTTAATTTGCGAGAGAGCGCGACACCTGAGGGGCCCGTTTTGGGTGCATGGGACAGCCGAAACTGGGCGTCCTACGGGTCGCGTGTGTTTGTATACAGATCCGTGCTCCGTGGACGCAAACTTATTACCGGAGTGAAATTTATCGTATTATTTGATAGAAGTAAATAAACGTAAAACAATGAAGAGAAAATTATTATTATAGCTAATTTGCTGCAAATAGACCTTAGTGAATTTAAGAAAGTTATCTAATTGATAACTTTTAGAATATTATTGTTTTGTTTCCGTTTTCGATTTTTTATAATGAACCTACACGATTAATCGATATTAATGATCGAGAGAACTTTAACAACGTTAATTATTAGCACCTATTTTATTAAGAATGTGATTCATTTGTTATTTTGTCGTAATGTACCTACCTACAGAGAATTCTTGTGAGAACTGTTGGTTAAATTGTTAAGTATACAGTATTATTGTTCAGCCTTTGTTATGGTATTTATAATATCACATCTAGAAAACTTGTTAAATATGTCACTGAAATTAACTTAAGCTTATTCCTATGCACCATTTGCTAATTTTTATCATTGATTTTTTTTGAAATCCCAATTAACCTTACCTCTTCACTATCACTTAGTATGTATACACGTATTCACCTTCCCTATAACTTATACAAATTCAAAATTCGAATTCAATATCAACGCAACCGTGCCCCCCACCAACATGACAAGACGAGCCAAGCAAAGTGCAAGGGCTCCACGTAACTTTTCTTTTCCCGAAGTGCTTCGTCGTTTTAGTGGACCTTTATAAGTAGGGTTTGGATTATCCACATAAAAAAATCTCGAGTTATATAAGTACCGGTGAAGTCCAGACGCGAAGATAGCTGATACAGCAGTTCTACCTGCCACACCAGCCATCCTTTCCCTGCCGGCCTGCGTGTTGCTTCTTCACACCTCTTAAAAAATCACAGGTTGTAAGAGGGAGGGAATGCGTTAGCGGTCAGCGCATTCCATTAACGGATAATGCCACAAAGAAATGAGTCAACAAATTTTTTGTACGCATTGGAATTGTGGCCAAAGTTAGTCGGTGACAACGCAGGTCAGCGCGACAGGTCCACTGAAGGAAAGGGGAAAGTGGAATAAGAGAGAATAACTCCTCAGAAAACTCGCCGTGGTACAGACGATAGAACGTGCTTAGTGACGCCACGACACGGCGTAATTGTAGAGGCTCTAGGTGTTTAGTCACCTCTTCATCGTCTATAATGCGGATCGCGCGCCGCTGTAACCGATCCAAAGCATCGTGGTGGTGGAGCCATCCCGGAGTGGCGAGCAATATTCCACGCAAGACCGCACCTGCTCCTTATACAACAAGCACAGTTAAATTGCTCGGGCGTGAAAAAACGCCGTACCTTGTTCAGGTTTCCAAGACATGAAAGGAATGGCGACGTTTTTGCCGTGAAAGCGCAGACCTGGGTTTTGTTAGCATTGAACTCAACCAAACCTGGTACTCCATTCAGAAATATGGTCCAAAGCCTGATTGAATTTAATGACAATATTCTCCCGTTTCACCGTGGTTACCGCCTGCCCAGCCGCTGCTTGTCCGGGATACCCCGCATGCACTGTACTATCGTATGCATCGCAATGAATATTCCCAAAAGGAATTAAGTCATTGATATGCAGCAGAAAGATAGTGGGGGATAGGACGGAGCCCTGAGAAACGCCGGCATTCACTAACAAGAACCGCGAAGTGCTACCATTCGTAAGGACACAAATTTTATGTTCATGCAGGAAGTCAGCTATCCAAGAACAGAACTGTGCCGGCAGACCGTATACCGGAAGCTTGGAGAGAATGCTTTTGTGCTAGACGCTGACGAACGCCTTGGCAATGTCAAGGCTGATAGCCAACGACTCGCCCCGCTTGTCGATAGCCTCACCCCAGATATGAGTCAAGTAAGCTAGAAGATCACCCGTCGATCGTTTGGGTCTAAAAACATATTGACGATCATTAATCAGGGAGTGATCCTCTTGGTTTTGGTCAGTTTTTTGGTTGTTAAGAACCTTTTCTAGGGACTTTACATAATACTGGGGTGACTGCTGGACTGGGGTAGTTTACCGGGT